AATAAACTTTTTTTAAAATTTAGAGATTAACATATGATAACTCCGTAAAAATGCTACTTTTAAAGCCTTTTTCACTTAAGTTATTGATTGTCTAAAGGCTCATATAGGTCATTTTAGGTGCATGTAGTTTCATATACTTGCATTTTGGTGGTTATGTTTCGCGTGCCATTGCATTTTACTTTGTAAAGGTGCTATATGATGGGAAAGGTGTGGCTATTTGGTGATGTGCAGAAAACAAAGAGCTTAAGGCGAGCAGAGAAGAATGTTACAACATCAAAAGTTGTTGAAGCATACTGCAATGCCTTGGCATTTATGGTGCATAAAAGGACAAAAAGATTTTTTTCACAAATGACAATTGTTATTAGCACGTGTTTTGTGCTGGTAACCACCTGAATGAGACCCACTGCCACCTATGGAATCAATCTTCATGCATTTGGAGTGTACTTAGGGGTGTGATGGGAATTTTGGAGAAAATTCCCTAAGCACATTCCTTATATTTATAAAGAAAATGACACCATTTTAAATATCTCTCTTTCATCATCTTAAGAGATAGCATAGAGCAGATGCCATGCCATCCTATTCTGCTAGGTTTTTAGACTAGAGATATCATAGAACAACTTTAGTAAATTCTGTCGAACAAGTAAGGCACTAGAAGAATAAATCAACTTAAGAGATAAGTTTAAGTTTCCTAAGTGATTTCCCACCATTCATTCTCGTAGAAGCTTTCCGTGTGAGGATTATCAAGTTATTTCATTTGTTTTGTGTTTTTACCATTCTTCATTGCCTTGACATTTTCACCTATTCAGATTATAAACATCTCCATTTCCACGACATCACATTTGTTCACTCATCCATATTTTCTCACCATCATTCTACCCCCACATTCACAATTCCTTTGCCTAGGCATCATTAGTGTAGATATCATCACTATACTTAAATAAATTAATGTATTACTATGACCAAACTCATAAACTCCACCAATCCCTGAGGACGATACTCACTCGTCATTATATTACTTTCGTGATTGTGTATACTTGCACATTAATTGCGTATAATTTTATAGTAGTCACAACACACAACAATATAGAATAAAAATTTAGTTTTGAGATCTCTTATATAACTCTAATTAGTTTAATAATTTTCTAAGAATTTTATATTACTAGGATTTTCTGAATGAATAGTTATAGTATAAAAAATAATAGCTCATAAGGTTTTTTTATTTTTTGTCTTATTAGGTATTTAAATTTGATTTTTTAGTTCAAATTAGTATATGTACTTGACTCTTTGCTTTTACATACTTACATTTTTAATCAATTTAAATTAAAAAATCAAATTTTTATACTAGTTCAAACAAAAAGCCAAAATTAGGTATCAAATTGAACATTAAAGACAAATTTAGGTAGCAAAATTAATATTAACCCTTTTAGTAAAAAAATCTAACAAGAGAAAAAGATTTTAAACACCACGTGAGCATCACGTGAGCATTTGCTCTATAAATTGATCATGAATTTCAATGTAGGTATTGGTATCAGCCGCTCTGCCATCGTCTCCTAGCACTAAGACCTGGAGAATCTTCGTCACTTAGGTTAGGAAATAGGCCTTCAACTCAATCATCCAAGTCTCTTCTTTTTTTATAGCATGTTTCTTTTGTAAAAGCTAAAGGGCTGTGGCAAATAGGGGAGAGCAGTATTTTGGTGGCTCTTAAAATACCTGTGGGTTCTCTACAGGCTGCCCTGCCTTCAAATCAGCCCTGCACATCAAACATGGCATCATAGTACGGGTTTTTGTGTTCTTTTTTTCTGGTTGGGTTTTGGTCGTCGGAATCGGATCTCTGGCTTTCTTTACCAGTTTTCCATCTTTCGCCATCCCTATCAGATGATTTTCACCACATTCCCGCCTCCAAACGCCATTACATAAGTTATCATTGATTCAGTGTTATTTTGAAAGTTTAGATTTGAGCTAAATTGAGTTTTTGAAGTATAGATTTGGGTTGGGTCTAGATGAAAAAATCCAACTCAACTTTATATATATATATATATATATAGAATGATTAGATTAACAACCAGCTGATCTTAGGTAAGGTCAAGGATCGAATATTGGCTTTTGTTAATGGGTAAATTGGGTTGGGAGGGTCTTCGTTTTTGCGGTACTCGATCTGGATTAGTCGATTAATAAATCGTATTTTAATAACTAATTCAAAAAAAAGAATAATTAATCTGATGAATGGTTTATTATTATTTTGTATTAATTTGAGGACGATGATATAGTAAAGGATCTCATGAGATCGAACTTTTGCAACTCTCGACATTGTTGAACATATCTTGTTGGGATCAACATTGACAACGTTTACCATGTCTTGTTTGGATGAACATGTTCGACATCTTTTGCCTGCTAGAGCACATAATTCACCAACAATAAGATTATGGCTTCATGTTTACAGATAAACAAGGGAGTGTGTTCTTTTTTATTGAGTAGAATTCATTACAGGGCTTGAAACAACAGATCAGTGAAAGCACGACAACAAGAACAAGTACAGCAGAGCAATCAAATTCAAAGGGTTGCCCTGAATTTGGAAGATGAACCACTTTGCTTCCAACCAAACTGGCCGTTCTCCAAAACCCAATCCTCAATCATAGCCTGAGAATTCAAAGCTTGATCAGCAGGCAAAAGATGCCCCGCCCCTGAAACCACAACATGGGTCAAGCTCCCCCATTTATGCAAGTACCGAGCAACCTCTCCATTCACTTTCCATATCACTCTATCGGCCATCATGAACTTCTCGATCCCTCCCCATTTCATCGTCTTCATCCATGCTTCTGTTGATACCACGCCGTCCCTTAAATCATACAACCCTTGATACAATAACACCTTGCTCTTCTTCACCAACATCTCCACCATGTACTTGACACTCTTCATTACGTCGTTGTGCTATGTTGAGAAATTTGATTGCTAAACTCGTCTGATAAGGCTTTTTCATCGTGAAGTCATACAAAGTGGCCAAACCAGTCATGTTTTCCACCATTCTCATCACCTTGTTTCTTGCATTTGCCGCCTCACTCCAGTTCCCCATCTTAACCAACTCAACAGCCTCCCTTTGTGCTTCCTCAAGTTTACGCATTTGCCTCTCGTTGACTAGACCGGAATTATAAACACTGTCGGCGTGTGTTGCCACGTGGATGACGGATCTGTTAGTCCGTCGCCGATTGCCACACCCGCCAAGTTCACTCTTTGTGACACCGGCAACTTTGGGTTTTTATTCAAAATGTAGTACCCAATCGCAGGCACATACTTTCCTGCATAACTCTCACCGGTGATATAAATGGGACGATCCTTTAACAACGGATCTAATGATGTGAACCCAGTGATGGCAGCAAAGAGATGCTCGGCGACAGAATGTTGGCCTCTGGGAATCTCCTCATGTGTTGCTGCAACACTATACTATGCATGTAATCCTTTGGGTTCTGCAATGAAATCAATTTGATCCCCTTTTTATGCATATTTCTTATCACCTATTACTCCAAATCTGTTTCATCTTTGTACATTTTCATGTTTATTTATTTTAGATTCTACCATTTTTTTATTTCAGTTCGATGAGTCCCTCGTGTTAGACTGTTAGTTGTATTTACCTTTTTTATTTTGCGATTGGAGTATGCAATTCATGTTCTTAGATTTTATCTTTGGTTGCTATTTTTGCTTTAATATTTAGGACTCCTTTTTTTTTATATATTTGTTTTGCTATAGCTCAGTATCGTGTTTTTGTGTTGTAGATGTTTGTAGATACATGTACATCTTTATATCAACTTTGTCTTGTATTTTGCATATTTTATAAGTATATATATATAGCTTGTTTTGTTATTTTGATAAAAAAAAATGGTGGTGAAAAGGGTCAAAAGATGAGTTCTTGGTTAGATTTCTATCTGTATGTTGATATACCAGTCAGCAGTTTGAGTTGGATTGAATGGAGCAATTTCTTTCATTTCCTGTACTCATGATACTTGTCATCTCATTCTTCTCCACCTTTTATTTTTTTCCAAATCCAACCTCTCTTATCAACGAGAGGAGTTGCTCAACTGCAGGGCACACTTTTGCTTGGGATAGTGTTATTATGGTCATTTGTCACTCTGAGTGAACAAAGGGACTGGGTTGTCATAAAAGGCAAGATTCTTTTTTATTTTCATCTCATCCAAGTGGTGGCTCATTGAATGGAAGAAAACACCATATTGACATAAATAGGCTAACTATATTGTTTACAGGGCGCTGCTGATTGCTCTCAGCCTATGCATTTTTCCTGTTAGATGGCCTTATTTAGTTATTTTCATTTACTCAACTCTTTTCCTCGTTTTTGGGACACAATGGTTTCTCTTTTGAATCCCTTTCTTTTAAATAGGATTTATGTCATATTCACATACACTTGACATTACTGAGGGCATTGCTGTTATTTGGCCTTAAATCCACTCTACTATGACTGGAACAAGAGGCACGTTAACATCACTGAGGGCATTGTTGTTGTTTGACCAATTTTGTTGCTGGGACGTAATTTTTGCAATGTGTGGAGACCACTTTGAATCCTTTTGGTTTTTTATTCTAAATTTTGACCTTCTTTAGCTCACTGTTCGCTAATTCTGGTGTTATATCCTTGCAGCAATACATGGCGCATCTCCTTTCTCGTGGTCAACTAGACGGGAGTGGCTAGGTGTAAGTTCCATAAAGAAAACATATTAGTGGCATACACGTGAAATGGACTCGAAGTGATGCTTATAGCAATGTAAGAAGAGCAGAAACCATACAATATTGTCATTGCACTTTAATATTGGCTCCTTGGTCTATGCTCTAGAATTCGTTTGTACTTTTGAGACACCGTAGTTTTCCATATTTGACATCGACTTTAAAGTTCACCGATACATAAATGTTATTCTGCTTTCGTATGGATTTGTTACACTTAAATTATAAGGGTTAGATCAATATATACAAATCTCAAATGCATCCACAGCTGCCACCAATTGAAGTAGAATTGCATGTTTCATGTTTATAAATATGACATTGGTTTGATATGTACAATAAAAAGGGCAGAATGTGCCTCTAATTAAATTGTTTGATACATTTGTTTAGTGCAGTAGTTGAATCCTGTGAACTATTGAGAAATGACCCAATTTGTCATCGCAAGATCTCCTGCCTTAAATAGCTTCTAAACTAAACCATAAGTCATACTACTTTTTTCCTTGTCCAGTTTACAACAGAGAGGAAAGTCCAACATATTTGGTTTGATTAAGAGGGACTAGGAACCTCCAAAGGAATGTCATGCGCATAGCAAAAGAAAACATGAACCGGCAGATCTTTGTTGAACATTTGCAAGTTTCCGAGCATGTCAAGCAACCAGTTTCTGCACTTCTCTGTGAACCTGGAATGAGTAGAGAAGTGAGATAGATATACCAAACACTTTGTGAAGTAAAAACACCGATGACATACGTCAAAACCATAGTTAGAGTTACTTACCCCATGAGGTTTTCTAATGACACCCACACACCTGGAAGCACTGATGCTTTCGCTTCTCAACAAGCGATGGCCATTTTGTGTAGGTTTGCAAGAGGCTTTTGGAGTCCCGGGCACATTTTGGTTGGCAGATTCCTGTTCCCTGCATCCTTGCAACTTTGTAGGGCTCTGAAGGGTTGCACGATTAGCAGAAGCAGCTGAACGTTTTTCTGATTGGTCAATGTCATCGTTATCATCATTGCAGACTCGCTCCCTAAGAAATAAATAATCACCAGTTGGTAAGAATAAAAGAAGCATATTCAGTCAAATAAATAACAAATAAGAATATGTATATATTCCTAGAAATTCACCTAGGCAAAGATGCATATTTCCTTCTCAGCACAATGCCTCTTTCATTTTTGCCCTCAAGACATTCAAATTGTTGCCTATACCGATCAACTCCGCTGGGTTTACACAACACACTTGGTTAAAATTCAACAATATTTTAGTCTTTCAGTTATGCATATAGCGAAACATAACAATTGAATTCATCACGTAGTTTCAGCATGTAAGACCTGACCTTCACCAACAGTCATGACACTAAAAAGAGGGTTTGATCTTTATGATTTATGTTCTATGTCAATACTAGTTGGATGATTTACCTTGGATACATGAAGCTAATATGATCTTTGCCTTGAAGGTATTCCTGAAGCATCTGTGGATGGTACTCTAATATCTGTTCGCAATTTAAGATAGGATTAACAAGTAAACACAAAATAAAAGAGGGGATTAAAACAAGAAAAATATAATTCAGGCAAGAGTTAATCTCTATGCACATAAATACCTCTCTGTAAATTAGCTCTCGGACATCATCTTCTGACAATTTCCTTCTTTCAAACTCAAATTCCAATTTTGAAATGGGTTCCATGGATGGTTCATTGTCCAGATTTGCCAATCCATGGAAATATGGATCAGCTAATGCCTGCATGAAGAAAAATCATAGAAGTTATGAAATATAATGGAGTACAAGGAGAAAGGATTTAAATCTTAAACTATTAGAACCCCTAGAGTTTACCTCTTCTGCAGTTGGACGATCATTGGGATCGAATGCAATCAGACGCTCAAGTAATTTGAGGGCCAATGGATCCTTATTTGGGAATTTTTCCGTGAAAGGAATTGGTTTCTTTTTTCTTAAGCTATTCAAATAATTTCTAGCTTTTTCATTCTTAATCTGCAGATATTATGAATAATCAACATGGTTAGAAAAGATCTTGTCCCTGTTGACAATTCTCATTAATGCAAAAGGAGATGGCAAACCCTTGCGATTGTTTTAGCAGAGGGAGTGCCAAGCAAATCAGTCACAAGATCCAACTGATCCACCACATTCTTCCCGGGAAACAATGGTTTTCCAGTAATCAACTCAGCAAATATACATCCTACACTCCAAATATCGACCGCAGGTGTGTACTGCAGAAAACATAGGTTTTAAAATTCAATTAAAACAAGTTCTTAAGAGATTTTCCTTTAATTTCTACTAGCAGTGTGCCAGTGTCTGTATTTGACACATATATCCACATTCTTCAGTTTCAGGCCACAAAGATAAGATACGCAAGAAAGCTTCTTTGTACTTGAGCACGGACTATGTTACAGCTCAAACTATGTACAAATCATTACACAACGAAAACTAAAATATATTGTTGCTGCCTATTAACATAAAATCCCTAAAAAGGTCAAGAGAAAGAAATTCATATCTAATTATAAAGCTGGCTAACAATTTTATAGTAAACAGATTGAAGTGAGAAAAAGGGAACCAGTACTTACCTTGGAGAAAAATGAACCGCATAGTTCAGGAGCACGATACCATCGAGTTGCCACATAATCCTTGAAAGATTAAATGATGATTAGATGACAATACCAGCTAACATGGTATACACAATGGCCATGACTAGCAAAGCAGTCATAACCAAGAAAGAAGCACTTACGGTCCAAAATATAGCAGAAGGAACATCAGTAAATGACACCCGAGCAAGTCCAAAATCACAAAGCTTCAATTTGCAATCCGAGTTAGCAAGTATATTTTTTGGCTTCAAATCTCTATGGAAAACATGAGCTGAAAAATTGATGGGATGAAAAAAAGTGGGTCATTTGTAATCACAAATTGGAGAAACCTCTGCAACAATTGACACATAAAATAAGCCGACCTGTGTGAATGTATTTCAGACCCCGAAGAAGCTGGTACAAGAAAAATTGATGATGCTCGGGTGTGAGATCATCGTTTATTTTTATAACATGATGAAGATCAGATTCCATCAACTCAAAAACAACAAATATATCTTTGAATTCTCTTCGACATGGAGGAAGCATTATGTGTTTAATCTGAACTATGTCTGGGTGGCGCAGCAGCCTTAGAAGTTTGATCTCTCTAAGGATCCTTGTGGAGTCAGAGGTGTGCTCGAAGATATTGGCCATCTTCTTGATGGCTACCTTCTCTCCAGTGTGAGTATCGATAGCAGACGCAACCACACCATAACTTCCTTTGCCAACTACTTCCTTTATTTCATATTGACTTGCTTCGCCATATTCGGTGAAAAAATCTTTGCCAAACATTTTCTGATAAATTAAATAACCATCAGATTCCAACCGAAAGAAAAGTAGCACGAAACCTAACATGATCGCATCGTACTCGGAGTAATACAATTAAGCAAACGAAACCACCTATCCTAGACTTAGATGTCAACCTTCGTTAGTAGTGTGGTAATAATACTCATGAATGTGTGAATTCAAGATTACACTAAAAAACATTGATTAACTCAGATTTCAATATAGAACAAAATGAATCTGTATTATGAAACCAAATTAAAGATCCCAAAAATCTGTTTCTAGAGAAAGAATAACTTCAACTTTAATTTTCTTCAAAGAAATGCTATTATGCAGATCTCTAGCAACCGTAACAAGTGAATTAGATGCAAATTTTAGTTCATTAAGCAAGAAAAAAAGACAAAAACATACACATCAAAAACAATCTTTTCACCATTCCCTTTAAAAAATTTCTATATCTAAGAATAACTGTCACCATTTGGAGAATATTTAAGACTTAGAAAATAATCCCCAAGAAAGTGGCTAAGAAAACATAAAAAAATCACCTTTATGCAGACAAATACTAATTACTACTAAAAAGTCAAGAAAATAAATTCAACCCACTAATCTTATTAACAAAACCCATTTTTTCCAGTCATTTTCATCCTAAAGGCTAAAATTTCCATCAAATGCTTCAATATTGCTCATCAAACACACATTCAAACCACAAAAATATAGATCCCAAATCTCATTTGAAAGAAAAACAGAGATAAATCGATTAACGAGCAAAGAAGAGAAATTACAGTTTTTCTGTCGGCAAAGGACGCCAAAGCAGAGCTGAAGAAGCTTGGAGAATGATGGCAAGAGCTCCGTTTAAATAAACTCGGAGACAAGATATGAACTGCTCAAATAACACCTGCAACAATTTGTACGTATGCAAATACAGTATAGCGTAAACGTATTTTTATACGTATAGATAAAGTCGTATCAACTGTGATGCTGACAAAAACTTGAATATGACAAAACGGTCATCATTACTATTTATGCAGAAAACAATTAATAAAATATTACAAGTTTACAACCGAATTTAAAAAGTAAAACTCTATCCTTCACAAAAGAAAAAAGGGCCATATTTATTTATATTATAATTTATCTTAAAACGGATTTTCTAGCTTTGCTCGAAATTCGAACCTTATCTTATCCTCAATTTCCGGAGCTATAAAGAGCATTGCTATAGATGAGATGATAGTAGAAAACTTACCAGAAGGGGAAAGCAAAGCGAGTTGCGACGTGTTACTGATGCAGCGTCTGCGAATCGGTGAGTCGATGAATCGGCGGCTTCGTGCGGGCGGTGAGTCGGTGAGTTGCGGCTGAGCTCCGTAGGTCCTTTCCCACCTCCCTCACCTTCCTCGCACTCCCTAGATATCGGGTTTTTATTAGCATTGCCAAACGTCGTGTTTGTGGATGATAATGAAGGAGGTGGTGCCACGTCAGGAAATAGTATTGGGGCTCAACGTAATTTCGCTGTCAAATAAAATTGTTCACAAATAATAAACTTGTATATTCTATATTAATATTATTTTCCTTTTTTGCGGTCAAAACAGTAATACTTGATTTTTTTTAAAAAAAACGTTGAGGCCATATCTTTCTCTAATTTCACGTGTTTTAAGAGTTATATTTTTTGTGGACCTCATAGGTATTCATATTTAAAATATCTAAAATCAATGTTTTATTTTCAAAGTTATTTATTTTTAATAACGTTAACTTTATTTAAAGTAAATCAAGAATAAATTAGAACGGAAAATTATAATTAATAAAAAAGGAAACTTCAAAGTAATTCCTTTAAATTAATAAATTAATACCTATTCTACACTCTTTTTAAAATCAATAAATTAATTTTTTTATCAAGTTAAGATGATTATAAAGTAATATATGTTTTAAATACTCTCGATCATTTTGATAATGAACGTTCAATCACTCTGATACAGCTGCTAGTACTCGAACACTCGTGACCTTTAAAAACAGTAATAATTCCTTTAACCACTGAGATAAGTTAATTTGTGTAAAATCAATAAATTATTTTTTATCATTGATTTATAATAATAATAATAATAATAACATGACATGATTTAATAATTTACTTATATGTGATTATATATATATACCTGATTTAATAATATGACGTGATTTAATAATTGGCTGTGATTATTTATACATTTTCATGTCACATGATAAAGTTTAGTTAATTTAAAATTATATATATATATATATATATATTTAATCAATTTTGGCCGTACCTAAGTGTGATCTTAGATACATGTTGGGGCATAGGTTTTAATAACAAAAATTATTTGTTTAAAGTTTAATAGGATTTGACATGATGATATTTTATTTATTAACGGAAATGTATATTATATATCGATCTATTTTTGTTTTACATTGATAAATTATAGGTTAAATTACATATCTAGTCACCTAATTATCTTTTAATTTCATTTAATTATCTTATTATTTTTTAAATTATATTTAAAGTTATGTTTTGTTTATCTATCATTAAAAATAGATAAAATTATTGTCATGATAATTTTTTTTAAATTTATTAATAATTATGTGATATTATCTTACAGTGATATGTTAATATCATCGTTAATTTTTAACGGGAGCGACCAAAATATTATTTTAGGTGTGTTTTTGAAAAAATAGTTAGTCAACAAAGTGAAAATACATAGTTTATCTTAAATTGTATTGATTTATTTATTTTTAATTTGCAATTATTATAATTTTAAAATCAAAATCTATCTAACATCTTTTATTCTAAATCTGTATATTAGTTTAATATCATGTATTGAATTTTTTTTTATATAAAATGATGTGATCTGACATACATGTTAAGCCAATTATTTTAAATAATTGTTAAAAGTAAATTCAAAAAAATAATTAAAAGGACATTTATTTTATAGATAAAATTTGATAAGTCCCCAACTATTTCGTGCGAAAATTTATGCATGTTTTAAATTTTTAGAAAAAGGTAATTTATAATGTAAAATAATTTAAAAATGAGTTCATATTTTATATGGTAAAATTATTTTTTGAATAATCGAAGATAACTACTATATAATATTTATTTGAAGTCATTCTTAATGGCACACATTGCATATAGGGGTAAGCGTTCGACCGAGTTGAATAGAGTAAAAATATTTCGAGTTATTTGAGTTGACGAGTCCTATTTTACAACTCAGATTTGATTTGAAATTTTTTCGAGTCAAGTTGAGTTTATAAAATTCGAGTCGAGTTGATTTTTCGAGTTTATGCTTAAATTTAATTGTAAATATTTATATTATTATTTTATTCCAATTTAAGTGACTTTCTATAACCATATATACAATACAAATATTTTTTTCATATATGATATACATATATCATACAAATCTAAAGAATCGAGTCAAACTTGAAAATAAATCTACTAATTACCAAAAAATTTGAGTTATTCGAGTTGCATTTTACAACTCGATTTGAATTTGAAATTTTTTCGAGTCGAGTTAATGAAATTGTAACTCGAACTCAATTCGAGTAGAGTTTTTTCCGAGTCGAATCTAGTCGAAAAATTCAGCTTTTCGAATCGAGTCGAGTTTTGCTCACCCCTAATTACAGACACAATTGCTTGAATTCGGGACCTCTAAAGAAAATATATTCAAAGATAATTTTCATCATTTGACATTGAATGCTCATATCCCTGATATTCTTTTATTATTGAGGTCGATTAGTTTGTGGGTATGTCTTGTTATATTATATATACAATCCAAGTACATTTTATATTTTGATAAATCTTTTGAATTGATTAATTTAATTGAGTGGTTAGGCTTAAGCAAAAAGAAAAATAATGTATTTATTACTAATTAATATGATATAATAAGACATTAAATATTTTAAATAAAATACAGAAATTAAATTTTAATATTACGGATTTATTAAAAATAGCATACAATGATAATTTAATAATTTAAGGAGGAAGGACGTTTTTTATTACTATAATTAAATTAAAAGATAATATCTATTTAAATATAATTTTTAATCTTTTAACATTAAATATTTATAGTACTCAAATTTAATTTTAAAAATAAAAATAATTATTTTATTATAAAAATCAATTAATTCGTACGTGAAGTAGGCCTTTTATAGGATAAGATGCCCAACTCCAAAATTTTCTACGGCACGATTTAGGACCGCTAATTTTCAAAAGATTCCTACCGTTATTGGTGCCCTTTGTTTGTGGTTTCTCTTTTTTCAAGAATTTGTTTGCCTTAATTAGAAAATAAGTGCTCCAATTATATCATTTTTCTCAAACATGTGTTTATTTGTTTCGAATCATCTAGATACCTTATCTTACAAATGTTATCATTTTAGGTGTTTCGACCGTAACAACCGTTAAAAAATCCAATTAAGTGACATTTGTCACATTTATATATTTTTTTGAAAATTTATTTTAAAAAACATAAAATTAATATTTTAAAAAAACCTTTAAAAAATTTAAAATTTAAAAAATAACCTCAAATTCTTAAATTCTCTTATTATAGTGCCTTTACTCCAATCGCCGATCATCTCCGACCACCCATACGTCATCGATCATACACTAACTGGTCATAACCCTTGCTATTATCTCAAAACCTAAAATTCTCAAATCTCTACACTTCAATCTCTAATCCCTAAAACCTCAAATACCCAATCCCTTAAATTCCTTTGGTCGATCGTGGTAATCAGACGTTTAGCCAGCTATGGCAGCCGTCCGTTTGGTCATTTGATTGGTTGTTTTGCCATGGGAAAGCAAGAGAGGGAGAGGGGGATGTGAGTCGGGGAAGTTTTTTTTAAATATTTTAAAAAAAATAAAAAACTCAAAATTCTATAAACGTGACACATATCACTTAACGAGATTTCTAATAGCCATTACAGCCTAGACACCTAAAGTGGTAATGTTTGTAACGCTAGCCACTTGGATGATTTGAGAAAAAGTTTGGACACCTATTTAAAAAAGTGGGATAGTTTGCGGACTTATTTTATGATTAAGCCAATTTTTATATTGTTTTAGATTTATTTCAAAAGTGTAAAAATATATAAAAAAAATTATTTGTTATATTAATGATTTATAATTCTATAGATTATCCATAAATTAAGTGATCATGCATGGTTGAAAATTAAAAATAAATTCGATTAACTTACTTATAATAAACTAGTAAAATCCGATTCATTGATAAAAATACAAAATTCATATTATTTTAAATAGAAATCTTTATAAAAAATAATTATCATACTTGGTTTAAAATTTGCGTACGATCCTTATCAGAAAAAAAATTCATACTACCCGTTGAATTACCGTTGAATTAGATTCACATATTTGTTTTTTAAATACTACATTTATTATGAAAAAAAAAGTAGACCTTTCAATAATTTTATAATTTTTAAATTTACATATCTTAAACTACAACCCAAAAAAATCTTAAAATGGAAGACTGGTTTTTAAAACATTTTATAACCGCGTGCTCGATGTTTATATATATATATATATATATATACATCGAGCATGTGATTATAAAATGTTTTATTCTATAAATATTTTTTTGTACGCAATATGTCTAATATTTAAATTTATAATGACTTAAATTGTTTTTAGACAAAAAATTTGAGAATGTTTGATTATCCTTCTTTAATTCAACCCCTACTTAATTAAATATTTAATAAATTCTTATATTTTTTAAGTCGAATACTTATTTTAATATGAACTAAAATAATATTAGATCAAAATCTATCAAATTTATAAAATTTTGGGTAAACTACATGGGTGACCACTCAACTATGGTCAATCATTTTGACCACCGATGTTTTAATTTGATCAAACAAACCATCCAACTAACTAAATGCTTTAATCAAGCCACCCGCCGTTAACAGTTAATGGAACAAGTAACGTGGCAGTTAAAACATTTTGGTATAATTACACAATTGGTCCATGTTACTTATATATTCTTTCCATTTGGTCCTCATTTTAATAAATTAAAATAATGACAAATATCATTATTCGATTGGATGACTAAATTTATTTTATTTTTTTAATTTAATAAGTTTATCTTTCCTCCAATAAAATAAACCAACAACGTGTCACCCTCTGATTAAAAGAAAATAAATCAACAATTAAAGGGAGTTAAAAGGATTTGAATCAAAGACCACTTAATTAGGGTAGAAAGCACCAAACCATTGGGCCATGACATCCACTTAGTTACCTTTGTACAACAAATAATATATATTTTGCATCTTAGTAAACTTTTTTTTATACAACAAATAATATAATTAATAAATAAAAATTTAAAATATATTTTACATTAATAAAAAATACAAATATGCAAATAATATTTTATATTAGCAAAAGGTTTACTATTCATATTACATTAATAAAAATATATTAATAAATAGACATAATATTAAATATTAATATGTTTTGTATATTTATATTTTTTAGTAATGTAAAAAATATTCTTAATTTTTTTTTAATTATATTATTTGTTGTATAAAGAAAAACTTACTAAGATACAAAATATATATTATTTGTTGTATAAAGGTAACCAAGTGCATGCCTTTACCTAATGGTTTGGTGTTTTCTAGCCACCCAAATGGTCTATGGTTTGAATCCCTCTAGCCCTTGTTAATTGTTGGTTTATTTTCTTTCGACTAGAGAGTGACATGTGTCACTCTCTGATTAGAGAAAAGTAAATTTATTTAAATTAAAAAATAAAATAAATTTATTTCTCCAATCAAATGATGACACATGTTATTATTTTAATTTATTAAAATAAGGACCAAATTGAAAGAATATATAAGTAACATGGACTAATTGTGAAATTATACCAAAATGTTTATAACTGTCATGTTACATGTTCCGTTAACTGTTAACGGTAGGTGGCTTGATTGAAACATTTAGGTAGTTGGATGGTCTGTTTGATCAAATTAAAACATCGGTAGTCAAAATGATTTTTGACCGTAGTTGAGTGGTCACATGTGTAGTTTACCCTAAAATTTTTACAGGGACCGAGGCTCCTTTGGCCCCCAACATAGCTTTGTCCCTACAAAATTTTTTATAAGTTTATATATTTTAAATTATCATATATTTTAGATATTTTTTATTTTTTATTAATAATATGTTTTCATCCCTTAAAATTTTATATGTTCACCCCTCCTACAAATTTAGAAGTTTGCCCCCAACATAAAATTTTACATCTATCCCCTTCTACGGGATAAAAAAGATGTTAATCTAAAAAATAATATAAATAGATGTTATTTTTGTCTTCTCGATATTAATATTTTTAAAAGATACTAAATAAAAAAATCTTTTTATTTTTTTTATAAATTCTAAATCTAATATTAATTTTAGTGAGAAAGAAGGAAGAGAAAATGAAAAACTCTAATAGAAAGATGAAGAGTAAGCACTTCTACTTAAGTTAAAACATATAACCTAAAATATATAAGGAAAAGAAGATAAATAACTTGATTAATGGAAAAAATATACTTATAAAAAAAAACCCTTTTATTAAGATAATTCATTAACGCATATTTCAAAAGATTGTTTTTTCATGATGGAAGAAACGAACTTAATATAAATATTGAAGAGCTTTTATTATGATAATTCATAAACGCATACTTCATGACAATACTTTCCCATGACAGAGGAAGCGAATTTATTTTAAAATATTGAGTTTTTTTATACTAATATTTAATTAAGGAGGAGACATATAATCTATATATTGTTGTATGTCTCTTTTTCTTAATCACTTAGGCATTGTTGAGAAGGTAAGCATCCACATCTTTGGACCGGTTGGTATAGAAATCGCGGTACTTGACAGGTTTGGGGACGTCGTCGTTTTGCTTCTCATATTCGACGGTCCATTTCACCAAACTTCCCTCCCCCTTGGGGGTGACGCTGAGGGTGGATCACCAAGTCTTGTAAGCATTCCCGATTTCACCGTCCATGAGTTCGTAAACCATAGTTCTGTTTGTTTCATCCTCATTTTCTCGAACTTCCCTAACCGTCTCAAGTTTATCTAAAAGAGAGCAATAAAATGACGGAATTAACCAGAATTGTTATAATTAGAGACGTATGTAAGATTTTATGTGAGTGAATATGAATAGGGGCTAGGGATTACCTCCAGCGACAAAATACCATAGACAGACAGAGCCGAGAGAAGTCCAATCACCCTCGAGAAGTTTAATGTCGGATATAAGTTGGGTGGACATCTTTGGCATCAGGTGAGTTTTGGTCATGAAAGAAGCTGTCAGCTGAGGACTTGACCTCAATTTGGCAATCAATACTCCTGGTCTGAGCCATCGTTTGCTAGTACTTACTAAGTGGAGTTTGGGTGAAAGTTAAGCCTAGGAGAGTGCCTTATATAGAATGGTTAATGCTTCTAAAACCGAGAAAAATAAAGTTTGTATTGGAAATGTCGGATAGACAAGTTGTGGAGAGCTGTCACGATGATGGTTCGATCAATATTATGGACCGATTGTCTAAGCTTTTTCGCCTTCTAACTCTAATTAGATTGTATTATCGCATTATCAACTAATGATTTTAGGTATTTCGTTTTTTAACTCTAATTGAACTGTATTTAATAGTGAATCCAGAAATATTTTCGAGAGTGAACATATATATATTAACAATATAAAGTTTTTATACGTGAGCGACTGAATAAAATTTCAAGGTAAACAAAATAAAAATAGATAGTTATTAAGTGAAAATTCAAATTCTAATATGGACATGTATCTTCAACTTGAAATCACATTTTGGAGAGCATATAAATTTAAATAATTTGAATGAAGAAAATAATTTTAATTTGTATGTGGCTTTGGTTTTTCTCCCACCAAAACATTCACACGTTTGCTTTGAGATGATTTCCAACTCTGGTTTGATTACTCGAAATGGAATGGTTCTATTTAGCATTCCCAAAAGGAGTCTTTAAGATATATCGTGTTAGATTATCAAAATCAATAAATTAATTGATGATAGTGATTATAAAATAATATACGTTTTGAATTTTCTTAGTCATTAACAAGACACATTCAATTACTTACATCTTAAAGATAATAACATTCCATTTAACCACTGAAATTATTTAATGAGTCATTAACAAGTTGATTATTATATATTTTTCTGACATAATGATAAAAAAATACTCTTAAAATTTGGTTAAACAATCACTTTTGACCCGTATTATTTTCTTGGAACCTTTTAGTCTCGACATTTTATTTTGGATAAAATGGTCTCCGGTTAATTGATTAGCAATTAACATTGATTGCTGATGTGACAAGTTTTATATCTCTAAATAATGACGTGATATATGTCACGTGTACATTAGTGATGGCTTGTATAAATGATTACATGACACATGTTACATATCACATGTACATAATCGATGATGTGGCACATGCCATATGTACATAGTAATATCGTGACGTATGTTATGTTATTGCTTTGGACACATAAGTTTATCACGTCAACAACAAACATTAATTATTAATCGATTAAACAATACTTATTCAATTAGAAAGTATTTTATCCAAAATAAAATGTCCGAGCTCTTTGAGTAGGGCTAGTCCGAATCTCTGGTCCCCTCCCCGGTTGAATGGATCAAGTTAATTGAAGTAGCCTTAGAGTAGAGTTGTTTGAGAGTTTATTGTATGGGCCTAATGTTTTGGAGACTTTTTGTTTGGTTTAATGATCTAACAATTGAATTGATTATCAAAGAAGCTGAAGCTGGTGTTTTGACAAGGCCAAGGTTGGGGATAAAGAGCATGCTCATTAATTTGGTGGGTATTCTAATTTCCAAGTTTAAATTGAACAGATTAATCATTGGAATCTAAATTATTGTTTCGTTGATAATTGCAAAATAGATTTAATTTTTTTTATGATGAGGGTTTGTTACAAGAGAAAATAACTTCAGTGACCGAAAATATATTATAATATACGATTTTAACCAATTTTTTTTGGATTTGCCAAAATGACCAACAAATTCGCAACGCGAATTCAAATTTCGCAACCCAGGTTCTAAATTCGCAACACGAAAGTCGAAATTCGCAACGCGATAATTGATTAAAATCGTATATTATAAGACATTTTCGATCATTGAAATTATTTTCTCTTGTTACAATCTGCTTGCTCTCTTGTGTGGTAGATGTTGATTAAGACAATGATTTAACAATTAAATTATTTTTTGTATGTGTTCATTTTTGTGATGCTGAGGTCTGGTACTTGCGACCATTATTCTTCACATCAGCATTGCCATGAAAATGATACAAATGGCCATACTTTGATTAGACTCCCCTTTCATTTTTTTCTTATGTACCTCTCCAAAATAATCACATTTTTCTAAGCATTTCATTGGATAGTTTTATCGTACTGCAACCTTAATATACAGTTAAGGAAAGATCATACCAAAAATGTTAATTTTTTTAACGTTTTCGGTAAAGTATTATATAAAACATTATTTTATCGGAAATGTTAATTTCACTAACTAATTTCTAGTAAAACCCAATATTAATATTTTTGGTAGAAAAAAAATAATATTTTAGGTAGCACTTTACCAGAAATGTTAAACATTTTTGGTAAAAAAATAATGTTTTAGGTAACGCTTTATCGGAAATATAAAAAAATATTAACATTTCCGATAGCGTCTTTCCTTGGCCATATATTAAGGCTGCTACACCTTAGACCTCCCCCATTTCATTGCTTTGTATCTTCGTTCTTTTACAACTGAGAGAGAGGTAAGGATTTCTTTTTCGGAGTTCATGAATTTGAGTGCTAACTTTTGTAACGTGTGAGTGTATTATTAATAAATTAATAAAATTTTGAATAAATAGTATTTTATAATCATTTAAGATATTTAAAAATGTTAGATAAGTATTTAAGAAAATAGTTAATATGAAAGTATAATTTTTTGAATAAATAGTATTTTATAATCATTTTGTCTTCGATTGACCGTTGGAATCATGAGTTTCACCCTAGGGTTCACGAGGTATAAAACGTCGATTTATTTTCGATCGATCATCGATCGTTCATGATTTCATAGGGGTTTTAGTTGTTGGGGGAGATGAGATCGGATGGAGCGTCACCTATGGTAAAGGGTGATAAGGGTTGAAATGAAGATTTTTAAAGTTTTGAGATTATTTCAAAAGCTGTATTTTCTTTTAAAATTATATATTATATATTTTTTATTTTTAAATAAATTTTTTAAAATTACCATATGATACGTGTAACTTAAAAGAAGAAATTAATATCATAGACAGTTCCGTAATTAAAATATATAACGTTAAAGAAATGATAATAATTAATATCGAACTAAAGGCACTCTCAAGTCCCAAATATAATTTTCATTTCGCTTCCCTCGTCTTCTATTCTTTCGCTTCCTTGTCTTTGTTCTTTCTCCTTCCACCAACACCAACATCAACAGGAGGAAAAAAAAAACTGCTTTAGTCTTCCAGATAACGTAGCCGTTAAAGAAAGACTTTTTTATTTTGAAAAAAAAAACAGAGGATTATTTGTTTTCTTATTTTTCAAATGCACGCGAAAAATAGAATTCCAAGTAGCGGTCACAGCACCCCATCACCGCCGTCATCACCACTACGTTCACCGAGATACCGCCACGGAAGGAAGTCGGCCCGGTTCAGCCCGTTCCAACCGGGGCGAACCATTGCCCATCGTCTCGCTTGGTTACTTCTTTCGGTTCTTCTTCGTCGACAAGGGATTTTCCTCTTTGCTCCTCTCATTTACATCTCTGGGATGCTTCTTTACATGGGCACCGTCTCCTTTGATGTCGTTCCCGTTATTAAACACCGACCTGCCCCCGGCTCCGTTTACCGGAGTCCTCAGCTTTATGAGAAGCTTAAAATTGATATGAATGCCGATAATTCCTCTGTTGATGCGGTGAGTAACTTGTTTTTGATCCGTTCCTTTTTACTCAATTCTGACGGCTTCTTTGATCTTATTATTACCGGATGAATTTTATGTAATATTTTCCGTTTTGGGTCGGATTTGTTGGTTGAAGCATTCCAAATTTTGTGTTTTTGTTTGATTTCCCCACCCCCCTTAGTTTGGATTTTGGTGGAATTATCAGCAACTTGGATGATAGATTTAGTTATTTCTTTTCCAATTCTGTTAATGCTTTGAATAGTTCTTCCAATTCTTGCAAGTTTAGACTGCTGAATCAAGGAATCATTTTTAGCATTATTCCCTAGAAATAGAATGCTGAATCAAGGAATCATTGTTAGCATTATTCCTTTTTTTATTTTATTTAAATTTCACTGTTGTTTGCTGAGGAAGTAGACCATTGTGTCTTGCTGTACATGTTTCATTTCCAGCTGTATCAATCTTTAGTGTTGTATCTGGATCTGAAGAACATGGGAAACTACATTGTCTAGCCAGTTGTCTTTTTTATTTTCTTTAGATATTATAGTAAAGATAATTGTTCCAAGGTCCGTTTACTGTGCAAGTGAATTGAAATCAGAAGATTCCTTTGATTGATTATATCTTTTCACAGTGCAGCACTGGTGTTTTATTGATGATTTGCATCTTCTAAATCTAACTTGGTAATTTGATAACAGTCTTTTGCAGAAGAGGAATGTGTATAACTAAACTTTGTGCATCTGTTATTTGCTTGTATCAGTTATGATTCCGTGCAATTGAACTGTCCATTTAACTTATACTGCGATGGTTGCATGGTGAAGGCTTTGTGCATTTTAACTTGATTGTTGCAATTTACATTTGACACTGGTTCATTATTTGTGATTCTAGCTGCCCTAAACTTATTCAATTTGTTGTAGATTTCAACTATTTGGAAAAATTTCTATAAAGGAGGGGAGTGGAGGCCTTGTGTAAATAAGTCATCTGAAGGTATGCAACTATGGGTTATTCTCTTCATTTTATATTAAGAAGGTTATGATTATGTTTCTGTAGCTTCATTGATATTAATTATTACAAGTAATATCCATTTTGATGAATCTCATTGTTGGCATTACTTTTGGCTAATGCTAACAAATTGCTTCCTTTTAATTTATATCTAGCATCTACTTTATTTTTTGGTTTGATGATAATTGTTGCAAGCATCAAAATTTGACCAAGAAATTGGAATAGTAGTAATTTTCTAAATCAATGGTACATGCCAAAAAGGAGTTGGAATTGGACACTTGAAGAGTTAAAATCCTTTACTGGAGCTTCCTGGCCATCCCTTACTTATATAATTTTCAAGCCCATGTATAAATCTAGTTTAGACGTAGAAGAAGTCATTTGTTTAAGTGTCAGACAACTCAATTATTGATTGAGTGGGTTTCCAGGCTGGT